TTTTTCTATTGACAATCAGCTTCCGTGCACCTTGACTATTTCACCTAGATACCTGTTATCTTCCACCAGCATAGGTATTTAGTAACTTTACTCACTAAGGCTTAGACATATGGAAATAAACTACATCGTATTTTTGTCTCTGTTAAGATTTGAACCGTAGCTTCCAAGGTTTGCATCAACTTCGTGAACTATTTAACAATGCCCTTCGTCTCTGATAATTACGTATCTATGTAGGCTTTGAAGGGAGGGATGAGAGAGCGAGTTGTGTTAGCAACAAATTTTGGTGTTGTTTTAGCATCAGATGATAAGAGAGCAGAGGGAAACAGAGAAGTGCATGGTGATCCAGCCTATGTGAGGGCAGCGTGCGAGGCTAGCTTAAAGCGACTTGATGTTGACTGCATAGACTTGTACTATCAGCACCGAATTGATACGCGTGTGCCCATTGAAATCACGGTTGGTCTTCTTTCTCTTCGATTTATAACTCTATAAAATGCAGGCTTTAAAATGATTAACATTTCTTGTTCTTTTGAACTTTGTTTTACTAGATTCGAGAACTTAAGAAACTGGTAGAAGAGGGTAAAATAAAGCACATAGGTTTATCTGAGGCATCAGCATCAACAATTAGAAGGGCGCATGCAGTTCATCCAATAACAGCAGTCGAGTTAGAATGGTCTCTGTGGTCGAGAGACGTGGAGGAAGAAATAGTTCCTACCTGCAGGTATATTTACTTCTTTTCTGTTGTTTTTTCATGTTAGTGTGCGGTCTATAACAATGTGAGATCTTGATGTTCATCTGCTAGGGAACTTGGAATTGGAATTGTGGCTTACAGTCCACTAGGACGGGGCTTTTTGTCATCAGGTCCGAAGCTGCTTGAAGATATGGAAAATGAAGACTACCGAAAGGTTTGCTTTGTATTCATTGTTGTTTTGAGTTTCGAACTTATTAGATTTGCTTGTGTTTGTGTATGGTTTTGGATTTCAAACATATAGATATCATGTTTCATTGTTGTATATTTATATCGCGAGTATATTTCTGTCCTTAAATGTATATAAGGAGCATGGTAGTTAGTTAATGCATACATATTGCCTTTTGACCTTGTTGATTGAGAATCGTATTTGTGGCTACTGATATTGAATGAACTTTACATTTGTGCTACTCTGTATCCGATGTACTAAAGTCGAAAAATACATGTTTGACTCAAATAGATGTTCAATTTTTGCAGCATCTACCAAGGTTCCAGGCTGAGAATCTTGAGCAGAACAAAATCTTGTACGAGCGGATTTGTGAAATGGCTGCAAAGAAGGGATGTACCCCTTCTCAACTGGCGTTGGCCTGGGTACATCACCAAGGAAACGACGTGTGTCCCATCCCAGGCACCACTAAGATTGAAAATTTCAACCAGAACATTGAAGCTCTGTCCATAAAATTAACATCAGAAGATATGGAAGAGCTTGAATCCATTGCTTCAGCTAATGCAGTCCAGGGTGATCGGTATATTCCTGGTATGAGTACTCATAAGAATTCAGAAACTCCGCCCCTTTCATCGTGGAAGGCTACAGAATGATGCAATCGCGTAACTAGTGTCTCAGAGTATGTAATTAGTGTGTGTGTGTGTTAAGTTGAGGTAAGTTTTTTTCTGTATTTTGCGCGCTGTAATAGAGAGTATATTTTTCGATTTCAGTCTATCGTGCTACTTACGATGTTATAATGGTATAAACAATAAACTTGTGACTCTCTTTTACAATTTTTTTGAAATGATTCTATTTGGTGTTGGCCGAAGAACATGCCCTGGATTTCCATTGGCATTGAAATTGATGCCAGTAATGTTGGAAACTTGTGGCATGCATTGAGCCAAAATACTTAGACATGGAGGAGAAATTTGGTGCCATCTTAGCCAAAGCTCATCCTTTGAAAACTATCTCATCGATCTCCTCTTTGATATTGCTCGATCGATAAATATTTATCTAATATCGATTTTCTAATTATATCACTTTACATAATTACCAGCCACCATCATCAATAACCTTTTGTCATATATAATAAATCGAAATCATAACTCAAAGGTGTTTGCAACATGTTCATACCTTATTTGAAATAAAATGGTTTCATATTCTTGATTGATCGATTATTTTTCTCTCCATATGTATATCTATTTCCAATTTCGAATGGTCACAAAAGTAGCATATTCTAAATTGAGTGACCATTCGAAATATTATCATCAATTTTTTAAAAGTAAAATTTCGCGACATATTTATAAAAGAAATGTTATGCAAGTATATAATTACTTTCACAGTGTTACCAAATAGGAAAGATGCGATACTAATACTTGTTATTTGAATTATTCTCAAACTTCTTTATCTCTATAGATTAAAAATTATTATGTATCATTCAATTATTCAAAAATTATGAGGGTCAACAATCTTAACTAAAGATTTTAACACATAATTTGTGTAAGGTATGTTAGGCGAGCCTCGAGTGTTGTGCGTTGGATGTGGTTAGGGCGTACAGTCGGACGTTTAGGGCGTAAGTCTTACAGAACTAAGCCCCACACTTGAGTCTCGAGGCGTTTTGCTAAAGTCCCACCCTAGGGCGATCCCCAAGGCAAGTCCCAACAGAGTTTTTTAAAACACTGATTATCACATTCCACTTCCCCCCCCTCCCCCCGCCAAACTACCCTTATCTACACTAAAACATAAACTACCCTTATCTACACTACAACATAGTTATTCCCCCTCCCCCCCTAAGACCAAAAGTTCCTTAAAAGAAACACATCTCTCTCTTTTGTATCACTCTCATCATGGTGTGTGTAATAAATTCTCTCTTTTATTTTAAAAAATAGTCACATTGACAAAAATTAAATAAAAGAGAGAATGTATTACACACTATGATGAGAGTGCTACAAAAGAGAGAGATGTGTTTCTCAAACTAAAAACTGATAGTTTAGGTATGAAATTCACACTCTCAATAGTTTAGATATGAAACTCAAAAAAAGGGATAATTTAGGTGTGTTTTTTACACTCATCTCTATTTGAAATAAAATGGTTTTATGTTCTTGATTGATTGATTATTTCTCTCCTTACGTATTTCTTTTTCAAATTTTGTTTGGTCACAAAAAAATGAATCGTTAATTTTCCTCCTAAAAAAGAGATAAGAATAATTTAATCAAATTAAATACTCTTTAATGATTAAAATATTCCGATAGTTTTATTACTTAATTTGATTACTCATAATACATTGAACGGAGATATTGTGAACAACTTTGACACAATTTAATTAATCTAAGAGTAAAGTGATGAACTATCAAGTCTTTTGGATAGATTTGAAGAGAAAGATACAAGCCTCAACTTCACCAAATTAATCTACTTGAGCCATTCTTCTTTTTAAATTATTTCAATTTGTAAAAGGAAGTTTGAGGATGCATGATAACTCAACTGTCTTTTTGTTTTTTTTTTTTAACTTTTTATCATATGTGATATTGACACAGATCATAGAATTATCTTATTCTTTCAAGTTTTTCAAGAGTTAAACTAAATAAACTTCGATCAATAATTTAGAATTAATTATGTTTTGATCATCATATTGATCATATGAGAAGTATCACAACTTATAGTATTTTACTTATAATTTTTGAATTTCTAAAGTTTAATTTTAAAATATTGAAATGATCTAATCAAATTTACTTCTCAATTAGTTATTTCACTATCGAGAAACAAAACATGACAATTGTTCTGAGATTGAATGAGCATGTGACTATTTCATGAATAAAAATAGTTATTATAGACCAAAAAGGTTCCACAAAAGTCAGGCCATAGTAATTACTCTACAAATCCATTTTTTTCACACTATGCTAGTAAATAATAGTACCAAGAAAGTTTACTCACAAGTCACAAGTTATTATTCACATTGCCTATTATTTTTGGAATATATATAAACTTCCTTACATATCAACATATATTGTCAATAGAGTGGGGGAGCTTTGCATCATGAATTATTATATACTTGTGTTGACATCAATTTTTGCTTTGATTTTTCTCTATACTCTAGCAAAATTGTCCAGTAGGGGCACCAAAAAACTTCCACCATGGCCAATTATTGGAAATCTTCACTTGTTAGGTGCAAAACCCCATGTATCACTTGCCAATCTTGCAAAAAATTATGGTCCAATTATGAGTTTAAAAATAGGACAAATAACAATAGTGGTCATTTCTTCATCAATCATGGAAAAACAAGTCCTTAAAAAACAAGACTTAGCCTTTTCTACTAGATTTATTCCTAATGTAGTTCAAACACATTAGGAATTCGCTTGTTTTTCGAAGAAAACATTTTAGATAGAAAATATTTTCCTTCATACCAAATCTAGTCTTTTTCTGACCTAAAGTTAGTCCTCTAAAGTCACTTGCATTGGTTAATGGACGAAAGTAATTAAGAAACAAAAATAAATCAGAATTAATTCTTAGGCTTGAACAAAAATCAATAATAAATATCACATTTTTAATGAATAATCATGTACAAACTCAATATAAATAGTTCTCGGTCTTTTTCTGACCTAAGATTTTTTGTTTAACAAAGGCTCATCCATGTCATTTATTTGTTAACTAAATGACATAGATGAGTCAAACTTTTAACGGATGACATAGATGAACCTTTTGTCAAAGTTTGATAAAATATTTGAGCCTTTACCCCTTGTAAAAAATGATTTAATTAATCATGTGAGCGAATCATAATTGACCACATGTAAAAAATGATTTTGCAAAATTGGAACTGCTTTTAGTTACCAAAAAATAACATGGATGAACTTTTTCCCAAACAGAAATGACATAGATCAACCAAACTTTTAATGGATTACATAGATGAACTTTTTCTCAAAGTTCAATGACATATTTGAGATTTTTTACCGAGTAATAACAATAAGAGACAAACGTGCCACACACGTTTCCAAAGACTAGTATATAAAAAGATGTATTGTCCAACTTCCTTACATATCAACTTTGTGAATAGTACTAACAAAGTGGAAGGAAAAGAGTGGGAGAGGTTTGCATCATGAATTATTTTATACTTGTGTTGGTATCAATTTTTGCTTTGATTTTCCTCTATAATCTAGCAAAATTGTCCACCAAAAAACTTCCACCAGGTCCATCACCATGGCCAATTATTGGAAATATTCACTTGTTAGGTGCAAAACCTCATGTATCACTAGCCAATCTTGCAAAAAAATATGGTCCAATTATGAGTTTAAAGTTAGGACAAATAACAACAGTGGTCATTTCTTCATCACCCATTGCAAAACAAGTCCTTAAAACTCAAGATCAAGCCTTTTCATCTAGATTTGTTCCTAATGCTCTTCAAGCACACAACCATTACAAATTTTCTGTGGCATGGCTTCCTGTTTGTCCTCAATGGCGAATGCTTCGCAGAATATTGAACACTAACCTCCTCTCTTCCAATAGGGTTGATGCAAATCAACATCTAAGGTCTCAAAAGGTGAAGGAATTAATTGCTTATTGTGAAAAATGTAGTCAACAAGGTGAAGCTGTGGATGTAGGTCAAATTGTTTTCAAGACTAATCTCAATTTAGTGTCAAACACCCTTTTCTCCAAGGATTTGGTTCATCTTTGTTCAGATTTGAAGGTAGAGTTGAATTATAACATGATTGTTTAAGTATAACGTATTAGTTGAGTAGAAATTAATGTTTTTAAAAATTTGAAGCTTGAGTTGACAGACGCGATCTTGAGCATCGTTGATGTTGCTGGGAAGATCAACCTAGTGGATTTTTTCCCTATACTTGAAAAGATTGATCCTCAAAGAATGAGGTATCGCACAAACATCTATTTTGGTAAGTTGAATAAACTCTTTGGTGATATGACCAATGAGCGGTTGGAAGAAAAGAAAACGAACCAAAGTGAAAAGAGTGATATTTTACAAGTGCTTCTCAACCACACTGCAGAAAATCCCGAAGAGATGGATCAAAATTATGTGAATTCCACGCTCCTGGTTCGTTCTCTTCTCTTCTCTTTTGATGCATGGTTAAGAAGACATGATGTGCTAGTTTGAAATAATATTTTAAGTTTATTTGAGAGAATTACCAAATTTACAGGACTTATTTATTAGTGGAATCGATACAATTACAAGCACGTTAGAATGGGCAATGGCAGAAATACTTAGACAACCAGAGATTATGAAGAAAGTCCAAGCTGAGATTGCACAAGTCGTTGGAAAAGGAAAACCAATAATTTTTGACAGTGATGGCAGACTCGCTTACTTGCAATTTATCATCAAAGAAACATTAAGACTTCACCCACCAGCTCCATTCTTAATCCCCCGCAGGGTGGACCAAGATGTTGAATTGTGTGTAATATTTTTTTTTATATATAAATGATTTATTCGATTTCTTTTTCAATTATTAGTTTTAAATAAGATTTTATTAATTCAACGTTGAAAAAATTATTTTACTCGGGGTATCATTATATGAATTGTTAACATAGTTCTACAAGTAATAAGTTGACAAATTTCAAATAAATATAAGAGTTAGAACCATAGCTTTGATGAAGTTGATAATTTGGTTACCCCACATTTTACTATGGTTGTTGTAATGCTTGAAAATCTAAGAATAAGAAATGGAAAAAGAATTTACAATTCAATTTGTTCAACACTTTTCGACTATTAATTGATATTTTTGACAGAAAATTACTCTAACTTATCAACAATTTAAAGAAGAGAATGTAAAAGGAGTTAAAAAGAAAATAATGTGAGTATTGGTAGAGAGAGAGTAAGAAAATAAAATAATATTTTCTTGATTTCTTCTATTTGAATGGGGTTGAAGAGAATAAAATAATAATTTTAAATATATACTTTTTATCATAAATAATTAATGTTTTTCTTTAAAAAATTAACACATAATTTATTCTTTGGTAAAAAATTTGAGGCCCCCTAAAAATTGGGGGCCTAAGGCCAATGCCTTATTTTTGTATACATAGAGCCGGCCCTGGGGGTGACGTGAAAAAAAAATTGAAATAGTTTTTAAAATTTGAAACATTTTTCTAAAAATATTTTTTTTGTTTGGGGTGGCGGGGGTGGGGGGCTAGTTTGGTGGTAGGGATAAAATATATTTGAAATTTTAAAAATAAGTACTTTTAAATTATTAATTTTTTTTTTGAATGTGTAGGGTCGAGTACGGGATATGGGTAGGGTAAACAAAAAAATTAAAGTATGAAATAAAGGTTTGGAAATTGTTTTCCCTAATTTTGAAAGAGAAGTCATTTACCTTAAATTTGAGTAAAATGAATTGATTTGAAAAATATTTTCCAAACATTTAAGTCAACCAAACATGAAAAAATTAGAAAACATCCGTACAAACACACCCTAAATGAATCATTAATTTCTATAAAAGGTCAAAATGGGGGGTTAGGATGTCAAAATCACATTCAACTCTACATTTGAATCCAAAAAAAGGGTCATTCATGTTGATATTAACTCCAAAAAATCAAATCATTTGTATCTACCGTTAATTGAAATAAAAAATCATAAACTGTTATATCAATATTGTAATCAGAGTTGACAAAATTAATCCATGAAAATATAAATCATTCATAGACACCTTCTTGTCCTTAATATGTTATATAAAATCATAATAATTTTTTTTAAAATAGTTTAATTTGATTCTAAAATGAATAATTACCGCTCAATTCCTTTAAACTATCTAGTATATAGATAATATACACGTTGTACTAAATATACATATTGATACACAACATATTCAGATGTTACAATCAAGTTATTGTTTTGAAAGCAATTTGACCTACAAAGTGAAGATTTCCCATAAGTGGCCTTGGTGGAAGATTTTTGCTTCCGCTTGTGAATATTTTTGCTATAATATAAAGAAAAATCAAAGCAAAAATTGATACAAACACATTTTGTCAGTTAAAATACAAGTCGTATGTCATGTACATTTTAGTTTTAATAATAAAACAAATAGGCATGTGCCTATTTAAGATGTGTTTGTGGACACAATGGATTTTTGCTACATATAATGCCAAACTTTTTAGATTTTTGCTATATAATGCCAAACTTTTTAGAATTTAATCTAATCTTGGCTAAATATATGCCAACAATTCTTAGAACTATATGTAGATATCAATATCCCTATCTTTGAAGAGAATAGTCTATTTTAAAAGCAGAAAAACTAGACCATTAATTATGTCCAACTGAATATTAGCAAAAAGGTCTATTTTAGGGTAATCTTTAAATTTCGTCATTCACCATTTTTGAATATTTGCTAATTTTTCCCTTATATATGTCTATTAATAATAATAATAATAATAATAATAATAATAATAATAATAATAATAATAATAATAATAATAATAATAATAATAATAATAATAATAATAATAATAATAGTAATAGTAGAATACATCTATAATTACACGTTAATTATTAAAAATTAGAAGATAAAATAGTCTTTTCAAGAGTAAATTTTATTTCAAAATGATGAAATTTTAATGCGAATATTAAATATTACTCCATGTCTTCTTCTACTCTTTGATATGACAAGGTCCAGGGATGGATCTACTAGCCTAAAAAAATGACAGTAGCCTTATGCCACCTAATTTGAGGACCTAATATTTTTTAAAGATAGATTATGAATTTTTTTAAAAAAATTGAATTATTTAGAAAATATAAATTTTCATAAAGGAGAAAAAGTTCATTAGAAATTTTGATAAATCTAAAATATTGCATGTTGACACCCAATTTTGACCCTCCCCAATATAAATTAATCATCGAGCTTCCTAAAATCTAAAACGATTTGAAATAATTAGCTTCATAAAATTCAAAATAATTTTCAAGTCATTTTAAGTAGTTTTGTCATTTTTATAAATTTTAAAATAATAAATATGATATTTTATATAATTATGTGTCAAATTAGTATATTTTATAAATATTCGAAAATTGTCTCAAAATGATTTTAGTCTTATTTAAACATTTGGCTTAAATTAATTAATAACTTATATTTCGAGTTAATTAGTTTATAGTTAAGTTAATTATTATATAATTATGTGTCTAATTAGTATATTTTATAAATATTTGAAAATCATATCAAGATATTTTTATTTCTTTTTAGCTAAGTGTTTTACTAACTTAGTTTAATTTAAAATCATAATTACGATTTTGAATTAATTAGTTCATGTTTAAATTAATTATATTATTATCAAGTTAATTATTTTATTTCGTTAAGAATAAGAAGCTCGTAAATTAATTATATTAACCCGTCTTATTTGACTTTTAGCCGAATCTATCTTAATTAACCAAGATTGGCTATATCCTTAATTACAAATTGGCTATGGTTTAGACCTATATGGTCAAAAACTTAAATCCAATTCACACGTCCAACTTAAAAAGACCAAAGTTGGGCCATTAATCAATTTACTGCAGCCCACCAAATAACTCCCTGACCCGGCCCATCTCTTTGTCCCAAAGGAAACCCAGATGCTCAACTTTAGCATCCAACTCCATCAATTCCCACAACCCAGTAGTTGTACGCATCAATACACGGTGCAAACGACGAGAATAAACAACGATCCAAACGGCAACAACGCGTGAGACACCACCCGACCCCTGTACGCGCTTCACTCTTCCTCACGCGACAAGAACGCACTCTCTAACGTTCACAAGGGACGTGGCGTCAAGTAGACGGAAAGCAGTACGCTGGGTCTCTCTTGTCGTCTTCTCCCGTGTCCCTCTCAAGCAGTACTGTCCCGGCAGCAAGCAGAAGCACGCGTTTTTCCCTTTCCTCTTTCGGAATAGGGCGAAAATTTCAGAGAAAGTATGTCCTCCTTTAATGGTGAAAGAAATTTTGAAGTTTGAATTTGAATTTGGGCTCTTTTTGTCCGGATTTGGATCCATTTTCCCCCCATTTCCCGAATCCCTCCTATATATGGTCAACTGTTGAAAAGGAATCGCGGGGGATCTTTTTTTTAGTTGGAAGAAATATTAAAGAAATTAGTTGAAATTTGGGAAAAAGCACGATGAACTGCTAGTTACAAATATTTACATATAAAATTCGGGAATAGGACTCAGGAACAAAGAGAGTGAGAGTTTAGGCGTTGCTCGAGTCTTTTGCTAGCTTCTTTGTCACCGGAATCTCTCGGAGTCATCGGAAATCGCTGCTCTCCAAGCTCGTTCTCGTCCCAGCTCTGCTGCCCAGAAATAGGTAATACGTCCTTCCTTATTTACGTTTTATCTCAATTTCAAGTGTTGCGCTGAATCGGTTTCTGTTGGGTTTCCATTTTGTTCCCCCCTTCTGGCAACTTTTATGCTTTTGATTCAAAATCTATTAGTTGGAATGTGGGTGTTGAAGCTTTTTTTGCTGGCTTGATTTCCGACTAATCACCAAATCATTAACGTCTCACCTCATCTAAAAACTCAAATCGAGATATGTTTGTCTAGTCTTAACTTTTTGTGTTCGTTGGGAATCACGTGTTCGCTTTGTTTTGATTCTTATGCCTAATATATTCTTAAGCATGAGTTCATTTGACATTATATTATATTGATTGTTGAATCCTTTGGCTCAATTTTGTTTCTGTGAAACTAGTAATATCTTTATTTCGTCTCGTTCGAACTTGTTTAAAGTTCATTTGGTCCCATCCGTATGTCGTTAGGTGATTTCCATTTTTATTTTATTTTTTTAGTAGAGAAAAAATAAAATAAAAATCAGCTTGTTTCATGTTCTTAGTCCATAAGACTTATACGACTAGTCGCTTTAATCATTGATAGATATATAATTTTATTTCATTTCTCTTTTACTAGCATGACTTTCTCTTTATATAAGGTTACGTTAACCACTGATTATTTGTTTACCATAATGTGGGCTGCCCTTATAGATTTTATTGTGAAATATATGTATGTGTCCGTAAGCGTCTCTAGTATGGTATTTTCTTCGGTTTAATCATGTGTTTGGTATTGCTGCCCAATCATGCTATTTCTTACGGACATTATTCATGCTAGTTTATGCTATCATTTAACATGTTTGATTTCAATAATGCTATGTTTGATCTGTTCATAATGTGGACTGCTTTTGTTGTGCCTTGTTTTACTCTTATTTAGTTGTTGTAAGTTTTCAAAATTAAGAAAGCTCCCTTCCCCTCATCCCGCCTTAGTTCGTGACTATACTCTTAGGGGTCGTTTGGTTTGAAAATGAGTTATGATGGGATAAGTTATGTTGGGATAAGTTATGTTGGGATTAGTTATGATGGGATAAGTTGTGTTGGGATTATTTTTTATTGAGTGTTTGGTTTGTTGTATTCAAAATAATAAATTTTAAGAACAATTTATTTGTTTACAAAAATGCCCTTCATTAATGTAAAAAGTGATATAACAAAAGGGTTGAAAGAGACATTTTTGTCATTTACCTATTTATCCCGGGATAAGTTATCCCGGGATTACTATACCACCCTAGGTTAGGGATAACTTATCCCGGTACTAATTATTAATCCCGGGATAAGTTATCCCGAACTTGCCAACCAAACACAAATAAGCGGTACTATAATTTAATCCCGGGACTATTTGGTATTATCCCTCACACCAAACGACCCCTTAATTCTTCAAGTGTACTACTTGTTTATCTCCATTATGAATTAATTACTTGACAACGTGCTTGTTAGAATTTGTGTTCCTATTCTAATTCTCTTTCTTCCATCTATTTGTATGTATGTTAATCGTCGAGGGTCCGCTGGGACTTCTTGTTTGCATTCCCTTCGCATTTCGGGTTGGTGGAAACCCAAAAACTTCTTTATCGAGTCAAGCTCATCCATCATCCGAATGGCTGCGAAACTGGCATACAGGCGGAAGCCGATGAATGAAGGCTGGAAATTAAATTTTGCAGGTCTCAAAACGCCTCAAAGGGGCTGATATACCTGCTGTATACACTCGTATACAGCCGGAAATATAGTTTACAGGTTGCAAAATATGAGGATACAAGTTTGATGATAAGACATAAGTCGATAGCTATTGTTCAAGGAAAAACGCAGAAATATGGACCCCAAACACGGTCCATATACAGTGATATACGTAAAGGGTATACGCAGATTTTTTCCAAAAGCAAAACAGGCCCAAAGGCCTTAGACAATTTCAGCAAAGTCCAAGATGTGGGAAATTTGGGCCAAAGGCCCAAATTTGATTATTTCTTTTCCCTCCCTTATTATTTATATTGTGTTTGACTAATTTTGTTTATTTTATGGTTTTAATTTAATTAAATTCCCCAAGATAGCCATTTTTTTATTATTATTTATTTATATATATATATATATATATATGTAAATTAAAGTATTTTTGTTTTATACTTAGCTTTAATTTTATTTGTCTCGTCACTTAAGTTATTTCCCCTTTTGAAAATTCCTCTTTAGTTCATTCCCCCTTAAAATAAATAAAGTGATAAAAATAATAATAGTAATAAATAAATAGGTTAAAATAAATTAGTTTTCTTACTAAGTCAATTTCAAAAAAATATATAAAATAATAATAAAAAAATATAGTTAATATAAATTAGTTCTTTACTTAGTTAAAATTTCAACAATTAGTTAAAATAAATGAATTCTTATACTTAAGTTAAATTTTAAATTTAGTCAAAATCATTTTGGTCAAATCGTCGGTCAACCGCGAGTTAGCGGGCATTCCGAGGGCCTAACACCTTCTCGGAATGTACATTTGAATTCGAACCCTCTTACTTTCAATTGATTTTATCTGTTTAAATCTTTTGAAAAATCTTGTATTTTTTCTTGATTTTTTACTAAAAATTAAGTGGTGACTCTGTTCTTTTGGAAATTCGATTTCTCTTAAACTATAAGTTTAATCGATTTTTCGAAAACTAAGTCATTTTTCCTTTTATAAATACTTTTAAATAAAACAGAAATATCAAAAAATACTAAACGAATTAATTATAAATAAATTATTTAAAAAATAATTAAAAATTATGAACTTCGTTCCAATTTGGCGATAGGCTACTAATATACTCCATTAAGCCGCCTCTGACCAGTCAATTACTTCAAAGTCAATTTATTAAGCCGCCTCTGACCAGTCAATTACTTCAAAGTCAATTTAAATTTAGAGTGATGGGTTTTTGTATATAAGGCTGGCCTACCCTTCTATTTCATCTCTATCCTACCTTTTTTAATTGGACCTATTTTTGATATAATAAAATCCATTTGAGAATTTTTTTGTAAAAGAGAATATTAATAATTCCTTCAATCCCAGTGTTCATTAAAACGAAAAAAAAATTAGAACATATGATTTCTCAAGTTTCCCTATTAAAGAATCACTATCATTAATCATTTCCCTAAATGTTCGTTGGAGCGACTCCAATAAAAATTGATTGATTTTTAGGAGCGAAAAATTGAAAGAGAGAAATCATTTCAATTAAGATTTTCTTAAGGCAATATTTATTTAATTTTTTAGTTTGAGAAACACACTTCTCTCTTTTGTAACACTCTCATCATGGTGTGTAATACACTCTCTCTTTTATTTTTAAAAAATAGTCACATTGACAAAAAATATTTGTTTTAGCGCCTTTATTTCAGTTATCCAATTCAAAAATAACAAAATCCTACCTCTCGTTGATTTGCCTTTTCGGTATTTATGATTCTATGCGAAGATATATTGTTTCTCCTTCTTTTTTCTTGAATCAATCCAAAGATTCCGATTGGCTATTGCATTGAATTGAAAAAAAAAACACCTTTGTTGAGAAATTTTAGCTCGCAATTACGCTCTTTGGTTGATACAAATTTATGTTAAAAATAGTGAGCACCCATAGCTGTAAAATTTTTGATCCGCCACTGTCTTAAGGAAGACATAGATTGATGAAATTTCTATTTAACTTTTGCAAAACACTACTCTCATTCGACAACAACTTCTTAATACGTATGCAAATGTGAAAAGTTGGAGATTACAAAGGTGAAAAAGAATATGATAAACTCAAGACAAGAAATATTTTGAAATCACGCTTGACATTTAAATTATGAGTTATGACATATTAAACAAAAGAAACTTTTATCAAATTGAATACGTGATATATTACAAGAATTGCATAATTGAAGTTATTGGTTTGAGCTTGTATATTTCTCTTCAATTTTTGTGCAATTTATCACACACTTATTATAATATTTTCAAATTTCTTGTACTTAATTAGCATGGGATACACGAGCAATATACATGTCCGAGTATATAAATATCGTTATAACGACTCCACACAACTTAGCATGGGACACACGTGCAACACACATGCCCAGGACTAGTTATAGTAAAAGTAGGAAGCACTAAAGTGCAAAGTTGGATTACCATTTTACCCCTACATTAAATTACTTTTTAATAAAAAACTAATTAATTATATATTAAATGTTTCTAAAAAAATCAAATGACCATTTTTCATTCACTAAATTAACACTATTCTCTAATAACTTAGCTTAGGAACTAAATTATTACGTAAACATTAATGTTTCAAAGCACAAAAAATTAATAACAGAGCTTCTTAGGAATTTCAAAGGTTATTTTGAAATTTACAAGCAATTTAATATGGTTCATGTATTAGCAAAAAGTCACGTTTTCAAGAAAAATGTTAATATTCTCATGCATTTATTTCATGATTTGCACTTATCTAACTCTTGACTATACACATTCTCTTATAATTTTTGGATTATCCCTACATTTTTAATCTATAAATATGATAAATATTGGAGTAAATAATATCATATGATATACAAGGAATGAGCAAGCTAAGATTTGGGATATCATCTTCTTTAGGAATGAACAGAGCATTATTCTTACTCTTTTTTTTTTTAAGAACAAAGATGAATGATCTTCTGGAAGGAAACATCATCAGATGTACAAAATATCAATTAGATATGTTTTTTTTAGTACATAGTTTTCCTTCTTTGAATGTAAAATAAAGGGCCATGCATCAAAATATAAGATCATGACATTTTAATTTACTAATATACTCGTGTGATGTAATTTGTAAAAAAATAATAATTATAATTTAATTGATCTTTTTAACAATTAAATTATTGTACTATATTAATTGATAAATAAAATTATTTAATTTGTTCTTATGGTTTAATCACTTATATATGTTTATTTTTTGTAAGAAGGGTGTAAAATAGAATATATAAAACTAATTTTTTGTCAATTTTTTTCTAAAGGGGTGTACAAGATTGAAATAGGATAAATAATTTGAGATGGAGAAAGTGACATATAATTAAATTATTAGTAACTTCTTTAATTTATGGAATAGATAATGATATAAATGTTTATCCTTATTTTTTTTTTCCTTTTGTGTCATTTTGAGAAATGCAAATTCAGTGTTTCAACTTTTGATATCGTTTCATATTTTTAGTTGTCGCTCTGTTGATGCTATGTTTCTGTATTCTTAGCTCATTTTTTCTGAAAAAAAATATATTAATTTGGTAGGATTCAATACTTGATACGATCCCTTAATAATCAATAAAATAATATTAATTATTAATTGTAGCCTTCATTTTATTTTAATTAACTCTATGAAATGACTAGCAAATTCTTTTCATCTTTCATCTTTTCTCTGAACTTTGTCTTGCAGGTAATTAACGTATATATGAGATAAGAATATACATATATTTGTTTGTGTTTATTATTATAGTATTTTAAATTACTAAATATTCTCATCTTTTATTTCATTTGGAGAAGAGATACTTTGCTGTCATATTTTAATTTGTTATTGGTATTCAAGAATAGATTCTAAATATTTGAACTACTTTTTGTTTGAAAATGATCTATATTCATGTAATTTAATTATAAAACTATTTTTTATACAATGATAATTTAAAACAATTTATGTCAATTTAGATAGGGTACGCATGCATCGTTTGGTGTGATGGATAAAAAGAATTAATCCCGGGATAACTTTTTAGTGGTCTTTAATTCATTGTTTGGTTGCAAAGGTAAGGATAACTTATCCCAAGATTAACAATTAGTCCTGGGATAAGTTATCCCTCATTGGGGGTGGTATAGTAATCCCAGGATAAGCTATCCTGGGATAAGGTGTGTAAATTAACAAAAATATCCCCTTAAACTCTCTTTTGTACACCACTTTTACATTCATACATATTAACATAATTTTTAACAATATTTATAATAACATTCACAGCCTTAATTATTCATTGTTTTTATGATAAATATATTTTCTATTAAAAATTTACATTTTATAAATACAATTTTTATTTATTAATATATTATAAGTTGAATTTATTTACGTAATTATTATGTTTATTATTATTATGTTCACTTCACTACTAAATTACATATTTTTCATTAAATAGCTTATTACTCACTTAAAAATTATATTTTATCTATAATTAAAATGTAGATTACATTAATAATAAATTTTCTTTTACTATAATAAACTTATAATGAAAGTTTTATTTTTAAGCTAAATAAGATGAAATTTTTATTTTTAAACTGAATAAGATGAAAGTTTTATTTTTAAGCTACATAAGATGAAATTTAAGCTAAATAAGATGAACATTTTATTTTAAAGCTAAATTAGATGAAAGTTTAATTTTTAAGTTAAATAAAATGAAAGTTTAAATTTTTAAACATACGGCACAATCATGGACTGCACACACAAAAATATTTTAGCTAAATAAGATGAAAATTTTATTTTTAAGAATGAATAACTAAAACTTGCAAAGAAAATGTAAAAAAATAACTAAATAAGGGGAGGGTATTTTTGTAAACAAACAACTTATTCTTAAAAAATTTACAATGAATGTTAGTTTGAATATGACAAACCAAACAAGCAATAAAAATTAATCTCAGCATAACTTATCTCAGTATAACTTATCCTATCATAACTAATCTCAGCATAACTTATATTCAAACCAAACGACCCTTAAATGTATACGCATGTGACGACTAATGGATAAAAGTAGCTATTGTAGATCAAAAAGGTTCCACTAAAGTTAGGCCTTAGTAATCTCTTTTTCAAAAATGTAGTTTTCCATATTACGTCATCAACAGTAACGATTAATGGTAACAATAGTTAATTTCTCTGTTTTCTATCCGTTAATTCTTATGAATAAAATTATTGATAAAACGTTACTTATGGTAGCGTTTATATTATTTTGGTTACTTTTTAAGAATATGTATTACTTTTGTTCATTTATTTTATATTTATATTATTTTGGTCAAAC